CTTGTTAAATATATTTACATGCATTGTGATAGGAAAATGGGAGTGTGAACGCTGTCGAAAGAACAAAACTACTTTTCTGGAATCCATTTTATACACATCACTTTCATTGTCCTTATGAGCAAGTATTTGGCGAAACTAAACTCTACAATAATGACACATTGCAAGAAGAGCTCTCCAGCTGTTTTTCCATTGGAATGTGGTCACAAGTAAACTCCAGTCACTGAGTACAGTACTTCACTGCAGTAGTTGATCTATGACCTGGAACAATGCTTGTTTTCTCGGGCCCTTTTGTTATACATCTACCCATATATGCAAGATAATGATTGAATGGCACATGCAATTGATATTCTCGGTTTCTTGTGCATAGTGCACTATTATCAGTAAATGCAGTATGACAATGTTTGAGATTTTGTTTTAATTCTTAATAGCATGTTTAAAATTTCTACACTTATTTTACTTTTCATTATCCCTATCAGGTCAAAGAAAGTTTCAGTACCTCCTACAGTCATTTCACGAGTTATTGGAAGAGGAGGCTGTAACATCAATGCTATCAGAGAATTTACAGGAGCACATATCGACATTGATAAACAGAAGAACAAAACTGGTGACAGAATAATAACAATCAGGTAACTTGTGAGACTTTGTTCACAGCTCAGCTAAAAAGATTTAACATACATTCTTGTAATTTTTATTTTCAAATGTATGTAGCTATTTGAACTATATACAACGGACAAATTGAGCTATCCAGGGATACTTGATATGTGGGGTTTACTAGTAAGGAAATATGTTTCGGGGTATTTTGTTAATGTTCCTTGATGTCTGAAAGTTAGATTAGCAGTTCTCTATCTAGTTATCTCACGGACACAGAGGCTCCCTTTTTAGTTTACAACGCCCTGCTGGAGGTCTGTGTATAAATGTGTTTACTGTGAACAAAGAAACATTCCTAATTTTACCCTTACTCAAGCTTCGACTGAAGTTTGGGTGGGCGGTTATATCACTGGACACACTGCTGCAGAACAAGAGCGTTTGGCAGAGATACTCTGGTTGTGTATTTGAGCTCCACCACAGCCATATTTTAATTCAAAATATATTTTTATGAGGTTTCACAGAGCGCAGTTACTTTGGATCATTGTGGATTAAAGGGAAATTCTAAGCACCAAAGCAGATTACTGAAGTGTTTGGGGTTTTTTTTTTTTTTGGTGTATGTCTAGGTCATGCAGTGTCACAGCTCAATTATTTTCCATTTAAAATGTCAGTCATTTTTTTGCAAAGCTCTAGCCACATCTTCTCTTGCTGTATTACACACAGCCTTCCCTATACACATCCAGGAAGAGAGCACATTTTTTCACTTCCCTTATTGAAAAGTGTATTAATTTTAGAATGTTTTCCTGCCCCTTAAATTGCCTGCTAGAGCCTACAGCAACTTGTGTGTGATTTAAGTCCAAGCAATGGAGCAGAAAATGAGAACTTCTAAAATAAACTTACTGCTCTAAAAATGAAACCTTTTTAGTATGAAGGTTGTGAGTCTCAATCATGGGATGAGTCTTAAATTATCTTTATACATCTTAACCAAAGTAATTTTGTGCTTAGAATGGATATTCTAAGCACCAAAACACATTTAGTTTAATAAGCAGTTTGTCTATAGTTCATGCCCTACAGTCTCACTGCTCAATTCTCTGCAATTTGAGTTCAATCCCTTTTGATTATTTTTATGCAGCTAACCACTTCTCCCCTGACTTTGATTCAGCCTGCATGAACAAAATTGTATTTTTAATCTAATCAGTGGCTTCACCGTTTTTGCTCTTGTGCTCTAATTAAACTGTAATCACACACAGGCTGCTGTAGCATGCTATTAACAGCAGGAGAAAATAAATTCTGAATTAAACAGACTGTGCAGTAGGGAAAGTTTAAACAGATCTCTCTTTACAAGATGTGTAGAGACGTGTTGGTCACATACAGGGGAGGTGTGACTTTGGCTGTATAAACAAAGTGAATTAACTCCTAAATGGCAGAGAATTGACCAGTTATACTGCAGGGGCATGATCTATACACCTAAAACACTCTATTAAACTTTGTCCCTTTAAGCCAACACCAACTTGCTTTTTAAGATAAGTTTACAATGTGAGGATGAAAAGGAGTCTGAAAAAGATAATTGATCAATGGTGTTCAGGGCCTGGATTGTGATTGTATGTTAATTTGTATTATAATTGTTTTATTGTTTTAATTTATGCATTTGCTAGTTATACATTTTGTTTCAATTTTTGTAATCTTAAACTTGCAAATGTATTAAATATGTTATTAAGCAGATATTTAAAGGAAAATTTAGATCTGTTTTTTCCAATTAAAATATATTAAACAAGTATCTTGCATATGTTTGTTTCGTGCAGAGGTGGAACAGAATCCACTCGACAAGCAACTCATCTAATTAATGCACTCATTAAAGACCCTGATAAAGAAATTGATGAACTTATCCCAAAGAACCGCTTAAAAAGTTCCTCTGCAAATGCGAAAACAGCATCTTCAACTTCTACCATTTCTTCTGTAAACAGTTCAGTTATGGGTATTAAAGTCACTGCTGTCACAGTGTCCCCAACATCACAAGCTGCCTCTGCCCTCTCTGTGCCAGCCATTACTTCAGCATCTGCCCACAAGCCCTTGAAAAACCCAGTGAATAATGTGCGACCTGGATTTCCAGTTTCTCTTCCTTTGGCTTATCCTCCACCGCAGTTTGCCCATGCATTACTTGCAGCTCAGACTTTTCAGCAGATCCGTCCACCTCGATTGCCCATGACACACTTTGGAAGTACTTTCCCTTCTGCACAGTCCACCTGGGGCCCGTTTCCTGTCAGACCACTCAGCCCCGCAAGAGCTACTAACTTTCCTAAATCTCATGTGATGCCTCGCCATTCTACACAAAATATTAGTAGCCCTCAGGTGATCCATGGAGTCCCTTCTACTAGCCCAGCTGTTACCACAAACTCTGCAGCCACAAGTGTGCCTGTCTCATCTACAAGTGGGAGCCTCAGTTCACCTTCAGCCAGAAGACAACTCTTTGTCACTGTAGTGAAAACCTCTAATGCCACAGCAACCACAGTTACCACAACTGCAAGCAACCACATCACTACACCAACAGCCTCCACCTGCCCTGTCCCCACTGCCAAAGAACACCGGCCTGCATCATCACCTTCATCCCCATCACCACCATCCTTACCTGGAGGGGGATCTAGAAGCAGCCCCTCTGATTGCCTGACATGCTCTCCAAACAAAGGGACCTCACTTTCCTCTGAACAGGACATGGTTAACCAGCCTGTCATGGAGTCACCTAGCTCAGGCAACAGTAAGCAAGCGAGCTCTACCTCTGGGAGTACCCAAATACATCCAGCACATCAGCATACTTCAAATTCTGTTTCTCATGATTCCCGACCTCCAGTAATGCAAACACCAGCTCCCCCTCCTCCAGACCCAAGGATGACATCATCCCTCAATTTAGCAGTTAGTGGTTCCTCTCACCAGGCTGCTACATCTAACATCTCTTCATCGTATTCTTTATCCCAACCATCTATGGTGTCTACTCAGTCTGCTGCTAAGATTGAAAACTCTGCAGTTAGACCTCACTTACACGGAGCTAATCCTACTCACAAGAATCAAGTTCCTGTACAAAGTTCCTCTGTCTCTGGCCTCGTTGCACATTCAAATATGAAACGACCCCAAAATGTGCAGTCTTCTGGTCCACACAATATAAGTACACAAAATGCTGCTCAAAATTCTGGTCATCCTTCAAGTAAACCTATGGGCCCTAACTTCAGTTCAGCTTTACCATTCAGTCCATTTAGCACATTATTTGAAAACAACCCAAACCCGCCTCATCCTTTTTGGGGTGGCTCCATGGTTACTAATCAATCTGCTCAAGATTCCATGCTCTCCAATCAGTCTTCATATTTGCCAAATCCTGATTCAATGCTTCCATCGGATACTTCCAAAGCCCCTGGTTTCAGGCCACCAATGCAGAGGCCTCCTCTAAGTCAATCAGGTAAGTTAGTGGAATATCTCCCATTCTGAATCTGGTTTCTGAATTAAAGGGATTCTATAGTGCCAGGAAAACAAAGCCAAAGGGATTAAAACCCTTTCAGTCACTTAAATGAATCCAGCACTGATGACCCACAGTCCTGCGTCAGGCTTCTCCCCACGCTGCTCCCCCACTGTCAGCCGGTGGAGGGGACCTAATGCACATGGGCGGCAAAGGCCTCGCTCGCATTGGGGGAAAATCTGAAGCTGGAAGTGGTCATGCAAAGCGTGAGGATGTCCAGTGTTAGATACTGGACCAAAGGTCTGTTTCAATTCAGGAAGTCCCTTTAGTGGCTGTTTGGTAGACAGCCACTAGATGTGGAGTTAACCCTCACTGTAGGGTTATGGGGCATTGCACCCAGACCACTTCAATGAGCTGAAGTGGTCTGGGTGCCTACAGTGTCCCTTTAATACTTCAGAGCTAGAGAAATGGTTGGTGCCAGGTCACCATCTATAATTTGTGTCTGTAATGGGCAAGAACATTTAGAAGAACTTTGAATGCTCAAAGACAGCAAGGACTGATTCAGGCTCACCTTGTACGAAGGCATGGCGTCCTGACTCACACATTCATGAAAAAAATATACAATCTCATCCTCCTGGCATTTAGGATGTCAGGATGCCATGCTGGAAAACAATATGATTCCTGAAGCCACCCAAAAAAGCACAATTTGCTCTCTGCTACACCCTAGGGACTGTGCTGCTGTCTGGCAGATCTCTTCTCCCTACCCACTTCATAGAAGGAAGAGGAAAAGGAGTCATTTACTCAAGTATGTGTGTACATGTGAGTGGCTTGTATGTGCACTTGTTTGAATATGGTTCCCTTTATATCTTTTTTTTTTTAAATTTTATTAAGTCAGGCATCACAACATTTTAAGGCAACAGGTCACCTGTTTAGAGAAATTGAAACCGCATCTTGAATATTTTAACCTTGAATATATTTATTCAGAACTTATACAAAACTTTTTTTATACAAAAAAATTTATTTTTTGTTCTGCAATCTCACAATGCGTGGTATTCTGTACTGTATAAACTGTAGGTTTAATGCGAACTACCAAAAAATTTAAATCCTAGACCTATTTAATACTAAAGACTCATTAATTTATTTTGAGTTATTTTCCTTGCACTTGGTGTGCATAAATTATAATCAAACCTGCAGAAATAAATGGGGAGGAGGGGGGGGGTGTTTAATGTTGCATTATGTATAATAAGATATTTTAAAAGATAAATAAAAAAGAGAGAGAAGCCCTTAAGTTACTGTTAAACGCATAGCACAAATTCTGGGTTTTGTTTTGGTCCAGGAAGTCGACCATTGTCTTTTTCTATAAGGGATTAATAGTATCATCATAACTTATAAGTGTGTTACATTTTCAAGGTATTGTGAATATGGATTCATCTTACACATCTGCAGCATCATCCTCTGCCCATCTGGGTTCCTTTGCCTCTCTTTCTGGAAGTCAAATGTATGCACCCGGGGGAGCACCTGCTGCTGCAAATTTCAACAGACAACATTTTTCTCCTCTTAGTTTATTGACCCCATGTTCGTCGGCATCTAGTGGTATGAAAACAAACCTGTACTATTTCTTGTAAAGTGTTTACAGTATTTATCCTTGTGTTTGTATATTTCAGATGATATAATGGGGTTTACTGTTTGGAAGGGAAATGTTTTGCTACCTTAACAGCTCCATATTGTAATTATAGCTTCCTAAGGTGCGTGTATTCTTTCACAGCCTTATGGTGAAGTTTGTGGCTCTGCCTTAAAGCATTGTCCGTAATTGAACAGTAAATTACTCACATACCAGCTTATACTAATTTGTTGGTTTGTTATTGCTGATGAGGAAAGGCTTTTTCAAGTATAGTTCCCTAGGAGTAAGCTTTTGCCACTCTAGAGAGTGCCCCTGTATATGTAGTGATTTATGCTGTGCAGGGACAATTAATTGTTTTTGCGTGTTCTGCCTTGTAAGTCCACTGTAGATCATTAACATTTCAGAAAAGAAAAACAAATATTTTCTACTGCGAACAAATAATTAACTTATCCAAATGTGGGTTTTTTTTGTTTTTTTTGTATGGATATTGGTTAGTGCACTTGTACAATTAAAATATTCATTATAAAAGGTGTTTCTTTCAATTGCTTTAATTACATTCATTTTATAGACTCCTCAGCCCAGACTGTGTCTGCTGCTGTACGAGCTCAGTCTCCTTCCCCATCAGGAGTACCTATGGTATCTGAGAAACCCAATTCGGTGCCTCATGACAGAAAAGTTCCTGTGCCAATTGGAACAGAGCGGTCAGCAAGAATACGGCAAACTGGGACCTCTACACCATCTGTAATTGGGAGCAACTTGGCAGCGTCAGTGGGTCACAGTGGCATCTGGTCTTTTGAAGGCATGGGGGGTAGCCAAGGTAAGATAAAGCATGGAAACATTTACAGTTATTGCTGTAGCTATTGGTAGACATTGTGTATGGGTTTAGTCTCGTATTTCTGATCAATTAAATCTGAAATGGCATATGTTTTGGTTTGCTTTTTCAGATGCAATTTCTTGTACATGCAGTTTTTATTGTATTCTGTATTTACTATACTTGTGATTATACATTATTGTGAACAAAGAATCTCTCTACTATATACTATATATAATTAACTGCTTCCTTTATAGTTTACTTTTCTGGGTGTTTGGCATTGTCTCCAGTAAATGTCTTGGTCACTAAACATATTAGCAGTCCTTGCTAATGCTCTAAAGCTGCCTGTCCATTAACTTCAAACCTCTCCTAAACCCTCCTTTCTCAAGTCCCCTTTATAACCTTTAGAGTGTAAGCTTACCAACTATTTAGCTTACTAATCTGTATAAAAGGGCTGTAAATGCTAGATCTCAGCTCATTGGCAGAGTCCTATATTCCTTTTATAATGGTTTATCTTTGCCAGGAGAAGGCCTGGTCCATGACATCTAGAGTGCTGATGGTTGCCTATCCCTTGGTCTATACTGTGCGGTCAATATGGATTGTACAGCACTGCTGAATACGTTGGCACTTTATAAATGCCAGTAATAGTACTAGTAATAATAAAGTAAAAACGGAGTTTGGAAATGGCATCAATATTGTGTTGTTTATAATGTAAAGTGCAAGTTGTGTGACTTTTCTGAATATTGCATTTTTGTTCGATTGGCAGATAAAGTTTCAGATTGGTGCCACACAGGAATGAGTAATCACATGATGCACAGGCCCATGTCAGATCCAGGAGTGTTTTCACAGCATCAAGGAATGGAAAGAGATAACTCCGGCATTGTACCTGCATCAGGAGCCTACCATCAACATGTTCCAACTGGTTACATGGATTTTCCTAAAGTCGGGGTAATCTAAAATATTTTGTTAGACTTACAAAGTGTTGGAGGCCGCCCTTACTTTTATTCAGTATTTGCAACAACAACAACAACAAAATCTGCTCTGCAAATTTTTTAATTTGATTATTAGTTAAAGGGAATGGAATTTAGAAATACACAACCAAATAAATATTATTTTTCCTACAAGTATACAAAACATATCAAACTATAAACTAAGTTAGCTAAACATGTCCATTACTTGCAGCAAGTTTCATCTTCAAGTGATGCCCTATTGGAGATTTTCATAGAATAGGGTAAAATATTTAGCTGATGTTCATAATGGCCACATCACTGTAGTATCTCGGACCATGATAAGCTGAATCATGTGCTACATTAAAGGAAAACTCCACAGTCCAAAAGCACTTCAACTTGCTGATTAAGGAGTTATCCTAGATTTCTATGAGAAATCGGCACTTCAAGAAATCAACTATGGAATACTCACCTGGCTGTCAGCTAGAGAGGTTTGCAACCTCCTTCCATTGGCTCCCCTGATCTAATGGAAGGTTTGCAGCCTCCTTCCATTGGCTTCCCTGATCTAATGGAAGTTGTAGGCAAACTCTACTTGTGTGTGTCTGCCTCCTCCCATACAGACCTTGACCAGACCAGACACACATGCACAAGCTCTGGTTATTTCCATGTAAAGAGACTGAAAGTCTCTTCAAGTAAAAATGGAGTGCTGGGCTAACTGAAGCTGCAGTTTAGCAGGTCAGCAGTCTTTGCAAACTTTTAGGATATATCACTAACGAATACATGCATGAAAAATGTGTGCATTCATAGGGGGTATATCTACTAAACATTAATTTTAATTTTTTTTGCAAATTTGGGCAGTGGAGTCTTCCATTAAGATGAACACAGATCATATGTCAAGATTTTTAATTTGTATTTATTTTTTGCAGAATACCACCAAAATGTTAAATGGGTTGAGGAAATGGATTTAGTGTCTACTTTTCAATTATGCATGCAAAGAGTGAGCTTGATGCAGTTTATTTTTTAACCCATATTTCAGTCACCGCTGTAGTCATGCTCTGCGACATTTTTAGTTTGTGATTCTTCTAATAAATTCCTATGTATGGGTACTTTTTATGTGAATTTTCAGTGTAGCGTGTATTTTTGCAGGGCATGCCTTTCTCAATGTATGGAAATGCCATGATGCCTCCTGTAGCTCAAATGCCAGATGGAACAGGCGGACCTATTTTCAATGGACCTCATGCTGCTGATCCTTCTTGGAATTCACTTATAAAGATGGTTTCCAACTCAACAGAGAATGGGCCTCAAACTGTAAGGAAACTGCTTGATACGTGTTTTTTTTCCAAGTCATGAATTTAATATGATTTAGTTTTAAAATTTCAGACGTTTTAAAACTATTCTATTTCATCATAAATGTTTTTTAGTGTGTGTACTACAAGTAATACTGAAGAGAGACTGAAGTAAAACATGTCGCTTATTTCTCAATACATTATGTAGACAATGCATTTAAATAAATTGAAGAAAAGTTATTCACCTTTAAAGTGTTCCTGAGTGCACTGTTTGACAGGTCTGTCTTCTACTACAAACAGGTCCCTCACAAACCAGGAAGCGCCTTTGATCCCAAAAAGCAGTTTGATTTGTCACATAAGGGTTCTGGTCATGTGCAGCTCTCCCCAGAGGCACAGTCTGAGCAGTCAACCTAAGTTTTGTGCAAATGCCTTGCGCAAAAGCTGTACAATAAAGTGGGCAGCCAGAACAGAGTATTTTAAGACTGTGTTAGAGCTGCACCACTTCAATATCTAAGCATCTCTAAATGAGAGCTGGGTACTATCTACACCATCATCTTTACAATAATATAAAGTTGTGATGGTGCTTATTAATCCTTTAAGTGGATTGTTTAGTACACTAGCCTGATACCATAAGTCTACTTTATAGAGGTGATAGGTGAGACTTTAGAATTAACATACATTTTTTTTTTTTTTTTTTCAATCGTCTTAGTAGTAAATCTCTTACTGTGTTGTGGTATATTTAGTTCAGATGCCCTACCTCCAGTAGCACTTCCCTCTGGCTACTTTTAGTTTTGCTGGTAAGACTTAAGAGGGAGACAGTATTGTACACTGTAGAATATCATCAGGCCCTATAGCTTGAAAAATGTTACCTGAAGCCTCTAATATCTTGGTTTAACCTGGTATCTTCACTAACAAATGGCAATTTGTGCTATAAGAATAAAGAAAAATGTTTACATCTCATTTCCCACCAGCTGAGTATCCTTCAGCAACAAGATAAATTGCTGTCATGTATTCAGGCTTTTTGTGTTCTGTTCATTCTGTGTATAGAATTCCTAATACATAGGGACTTCTATGCACCATAACCACTAAGACTGTAAACGTTATGGTGCCTGAAGTTTCCTGTCGCTGTCCGACTTCTGGTAAGGAGTCAAACCATTTTCCGTTGATTTAAAACTTATTTGGCCCCGGTGCCCTATTTTTTTTTTTTTTTTTTTTTTTCTCACTAGCATTAAAGTGGAATTTCTGTTTCTGCTTTAGCTATATTAATCATGTGCAACATTTCACATTATTTGTCGGAGACTGTCTGCTGATGCTTTCAGCTGCTGAATAATGTAAAAAGTTGCACAAAATTATCAATATCAAGAAGAGCAATAAGACTGCAATCGCCCAAGCAAATTGAGTTGCAAAAGCCAGTGAACTCTGGGCACTATAACCATTACAGCCTGTTTTGTGACTACATATGCAGAGTGTAAAATCCTTGAAAATAAGTATAGAATTTTGCCTGTAACCAATGTATGTACCAAAGAGAATTGTGTAAATGTGGCTCTAAAAGTGAAACAAATGCAAAAAATCCACACTAAACTGGGTTCAGTATTGAACTTAAAATGTATTTAAAAAAAAAAAAAAAAAAACCTGAAGATGTGATAAAACAATAATTTATTTTAGTGCATGCAGCCGCATATTATTATTATTGGCATTTATAAAGTGCCAACATATTCTGCAGCGCTATGCATCTAAAAAGCCACAAATGAAGTGACTTAAAGGGACACTTCAGGCACCAAAACAACTTCATCTAAATTAAAGGACCATTATAGTGCCAGGAAAACATACTCATTTTCCTGGCACTATAGTGCCCTGAGGGTGCCCCCTCCCGCCAGGCTCTAGCGAAAGGAAAGGGTTAAAACTTACCTTTTTTCCAGCGCCGGGCCGAGAGCTCTCCACCTCCGATCCTCCCTTTCGGCTGAATGAGCTGCGCGCGCATTCAGCCGGTCTCATAGGAAAGCATTTACAATGCTTACTATGGACGCTTGCGTGTTCTCACTGTGATTTTCAATGAGAATCACGCAAGCGCCTCTAGCGGCTGTCAATGAGACAGCCACTAGAGGATTTGGAGGCTGGATTAACCCTATTATAAACATAGCAGTTTCTCTGAAACTGCTATGTTTATAAAAAAAAAAAGGGGTTAATCCTAGAGGGACCTGGCACCCAGACCACTTCATTAAGCTGAAGTGGTCTGGGTGCCTAGAGTGGTCCTTTAAGTTATGGTGCTAGGAGGCCCCCAGTAGCACTCTTACCTCAAGGGATTAAACCAAAGGTTACCCCAAAGTTGCCTCCAGTGGTAATGTCCACTTACCCTCCTACATCCAGCTTCTGCATTTTCACCGGGCAGGGGCGCCACTGATTGGCTGAGAGGGGTCAGCTGACGCTCTCAGCCAAGCAGTGACACCCCATTCACAAAACTGGCTTGGCATAGGTATGTTGGAGAACGGTTTGACCCTTCACGGTAAGAGTGCCCCTGGGGCTTATTGGAACCATAACAACTGTATTTAGATAGTTGTTTTGATTCCTGGAGTGTCCCTTGAATTTTGGAAAGTAATAAATATGTAAATTAAATGTACATTGAGTATTTTAATTTTAAATTTAAAACAAGTTATTGCCATTGTATAGAGTACATTGGCATATGATATATATGTAATTTTTTTAAATAAATAAACCAGTTAATAAGCTTTTTTTTTTTTTTTTTTTTTTGTAGGTATGGACTGGAACCTGGGCTCCTCACATGAACAGTGTGCACATGAACCAGATGGGCTGAATTGGATTCTCTAGCATGGAAAATCCTAAAGTGAGGGGGGGAGGGGAGGGACAAAACTTTCATCCCACAGAGGCAAAAAGATGACATGCTCACAGATCATTCTACTGATGTGCTTGACTGAAGTGTGTAGGCTTTTTGCAGAAGAACTTACTAACTGACCTTTTTCTGTGACCGTTGTGACCACCCAGTCCCATCAACATAAATCTCACTAGTTATCCCTTTCTTTTTTTTTTTTTTTTCCTCTTTTTTTTTGTTTTGTTTTGTTTATGGACATAACTTTTTCTTTCTTTCCTTTTTTTTTTTTTTCTTTTCTTTTTTCCTTGAAGCTGTTTGGCTGGTTGGTTTTAGTACTGTAAACTGCTTCGAGCAAACACCGAAAAATTAGCAAAATTATGTAACTGATTCTGATGTTTTAGAATGGCAAATAAATGTACAATTGTTTACATAACAGAAATGGCTAAGCAGAGAATTCAATATGTCAGTATAGAGGCTCTACAGTATGTAGACTTAAATTAATGTGAGATGTACCTTCATATTCAGAAATCTGGATGTTTCCTTCATACATTAAACTATTAATAAGCATTACATTTCTTCTTGTTTACTTTGGAGCTTTCATTGAGTGTTATATATTGGTGTTAACTTGAGCACACTATATTATTCACAAATGCTTTAATATATATTTATTAACACAGAGAGCATGCTACATAAATAAAAATAAATCAACAGACTTTTAAATTTGCTTTTGAGGTTCACCAAAAAGCAGTACTTAAAGACGTTAAAATTAATAGGCTGTGCTTTGCAACCCAACAGATTGTGCTCAATGCTTCATATGAACAAAGCAGTTGCCAGACAGACCCTTTAAAACTATGTAAATTCAAAGTGTGTTAACACATTTATGTTTGAATGAATTTGGAAGCTGGTGTGACTGTAATATGAGGATTCTGTTTTTGTTTTCTTTTACACATGCAATGTGGTGTGAGAATCACTGTCACTTTAAGATTAGTGGGTAGAATATCTTTATAACTTCTGAAACCTCTACTTTGTAGGAGCTACTATAAAGAATGGTCTCTTAAAAACACTAGCATGTCTTGACTCTATGCCAGTTTTCAATCTCCTGCTTAAAGGACCACTTCAGCGCTAGAACCACTTAATTGGAATGAAGTTGCTATTTTGCGAACAGGTCATGGGTGCTGGCTTATCTGCATGGGTTAAACAGTTTAATGCCTACGATGTTGGTGTGGTGCTTGGAGAGTCCTTTTAACATAAGCAGTTTTACATGCCACATCCTTCACTGATTGGAACTTTTTAAATCTGCATCTAGTATTTAAAGGGACACTTCAGGCTGCCTCCAGCCCCAATAACTTCATCTCAATTAAGTCCTTATGGGGGCTGGGGTCACTCCCTTGTCTTCAGAGGTAAACCATTTTTGCAATGTTTAACACCAAAGTTGATTACCAAGTACCAGTTAACTCTGCTTCTCTGGCCCTCATTCAATCCAGGAATATTTACCTTGGTAGCTCGTGATAGGCTGAGAGCATCAGTTTACTTTCTGTCTGTGGAAATACAGAGGAAACAGTTGTCAGCAGCCAGGGAACCAACTTTGAGGTTTAAAGTTTTTGAAGAGTCTAAACCCTGAAGGTGGCAGTATTCCTTTAATGACCGGATTTAGGAGGCAACTTGTCTGTACGGGATTATTTACATTAAATGAACTGTAGATTGATTGGTCTAGTGTAGACTGATTAACTCAAATTTGTGTTCCTCTACTTTGTCTGCACTTCTGTCCAAAAGGTGGATAACTTGATGGTTTGTAAAAGTGGCAAATTATACTAAAATGTTTGTGGGGATTTATTTATTTTTTTTCACAACAAATTTGGTGCAGATTTGATTCCATATTCACGTTCTTTAACATTCCAGGTTATGAACACATGTTTAAAATTAAAATATGCAATTTAATAGGTGTGAATGTGATGTAAACACTACACCTCATTGTAAAACAAATATTAGCTTTTGAATTCACTGCTAAATATTGCTGGAATGGTTATGAAAACTATCCCTGTGCAGAGTGTGTTTAGCGAATGTTATGTTAATTGTTTTGCCATCAAGTACCAGCAGCCTGCGCGTGATGCAGAGTGGAACAAATAGTTTACGTTAATACCAGTGTCAAAAATCCCTCTAGATTACCCATGAGAGAAAAAAAAACTTTCACTTGGCTGTTCATGTTTTATTTGCAACTACTCTCTCTGCATATTACAGGGCTACCTACTAGTTTGCTGTTTTTTGTATATTTTACTTTTTATTTGAATGGAGGGGAGACCACACAATTATTTTACAAACGTTTTTTAATCCAGTTTTTGTATTCTACACTTGAGTTATTAATATTCTCCCATCATGTGTGGCCTTGAAGCCAGCCATATTGGGGGTATGGATAGGACCTTGTGCCATTTCGAATGCAGTAACAGTCTACAATATCTAGAATGTCAGATTACCTGACACTAAATTTTAAAATGGCTTTAGCTGGTAATCAGTACATCTTTCACACACTTCAACAAAAACTAAGCATGTGAACTCTAAGGAGACACGATGAAAAGAATTATGTAAGTTTTGCATGGTTACAAGTCAATTCAATAAAAGGCTTTTCATATATTATGATAGATTGTGTTCACTCATATAAATATAATACACAGATTATAAATATAATACGCAGAGAACACATAATGGCCTTGATTTCATGAAAGTTCATCTGCTGCAAAAGCATAGAACCAAGTCCAAGAATGGATAGCCTTTTTAGGCCATGTACTAGAAGTGACAGACATCAGCTTTCTTTTATGAAAAGTCCAAGGCAGCAATAAGTAAGGCCACTTGTCAGTATGGACCTCATTTGCATCTATAAATGCAATCTGAGAATTAAAATGTGCCTTGTCCTTAAATACCTTTAAAATTGTACACTGGTAGATGACTTGTTCATGTTCTCTTTCCCTACTTTAACATGTGGCTTTGAACCTCCCTCTCCTTTTGAAATTTACACTAATGAAATGTTGATCTTTACGTGATTGGGTTCAGAATTTTAGTTTTCACAGAATGCATCTATTTCTTACATAATCAATAAATAAGAGACTTTAAATGTTGAGGGTTTTTTTTTTGTGTAACTGTAAATAAAATTCTCGCACTTTCAAATTCATGGTTTAAAATAAATTTGCACACCTTTATGTAACTGAAGCAAATAGCTTTAAACTATGTATTTTGACTAAATGATTAATTGTTAAGCTAGTAGGTTGGAACAGTGCCTATTTTTATTTTATTTTTTGCCAAGATTTGCATGGTTGTACATATATATGCCATTTTAAAAACAAAATAGTTAAAGGATTTGCAAGTCATACATACATACATAGAAATCCATGTATGCAAACATAAATATTCCTATTCATATCAATGTTACACATTTTAGATTTTAATTGACCTTATTGTGTAGTTCCCCTATCTTACAATTTATTGAAATATTGAATGTATTTTTATAATTTAAATAAAGTTATATACAATGTTAAGATCACTCCGGTGGCAACATGTTTTTTTTTTTTTTTTTTTTTCATTCAACAAATATAGTATTCTAAATACAAAGTATTGGCTTATGATAATTCTCAATTCCTGAACCTGGAATTGGTCTGAGGGGGAGGGGACAGCTGGATGTGCTGTGTAGATTGCCTATCCACATAGTTATCCAATGAGAAAAGTGATATTTTAATTGGTGGTGTCCTGGGATTGTTCATCGTCCACTTGAACAGAAGAAACCAAGAGTAATTTCTAGTGTTAATACCTATTCTGGAATTATCTGTCCTTTACCTTATGCCACACAAACTGGCAGCACATTTGAATGCACTATGCTCCCACTACTCAAATGTCTTTTAAATTTAAGACCTCTCTTTAATTTGTGAAAATATTATGACCTTAAATACATAAAAATAGGGTAAGCGCTAGATTTGTCAACTTAGAATATGAAAGTGCAGGCTGCAAACACTGAGGGATACCCTCAACCCATTGTGTAGAAGAGACCGTTACCAATTAAAAATATCTGATGCATATATTGGTCTCTGTATTTGGCACAACCTGTATATATATTAATATAGAATACCTTGATTATAAAATACTAATTTTCTGTTGCTGTTGGGAGGCTCCCGGACATTCACGGAGAAGCATAAAAGTTTATGAAAGATCCAATACAAAGTAGTAATGCTGCACTATGGGTCAGGAAGTGTTGCATCTCTGGGCACCTGACCATAAGAAGAAACCATGTCACTGAATAATGAACTTGTTAGTGATGCTGGAAGAAGACATGAAAGATTTCTTTAAACTGCAATGTGCATGTTAGTGCTTCTGTTTGACTGTTTTTAAAAACAAAAAACTAGAAATTGTGAATTATAATGGAATGATTTTATTGAATCATTGAAAAAATTGTATATTTGTATTAAAAAGGTGAAGTCAGCTCATAAGTCTATATCCAATCCCTCTAATAGCCTCAACAATTATAGATCGCATTTTGCTAACAGAGAGTTGCATAATTTTTGTTTGCTCCCTGAGCAGCACATATGTATATGAAAGGAACATTTCAGAGCCCTAACACACTAGAGATAAACATATTTCTTATTCATAAATTTATTTTTGGATTTCAAAAAAAATCTGCACTTTTAGTAAGTTCCTAGGATACTCTATCCTGGCTGTCCGATACCTATAAAAGTGCTCATACTCACTCTGCATGCAATGCTGCTCTATGAAAAGCATTCTATTGGTGCACGTGTCGAAAAACCCAGCTTTTCCATGAGTAGCATTGGATTGGTCGGGAGATCCCTGCTTCTCTGTGACTTGAAAAGACACATCTTTCTATAGAATAAAATGGTACAGCAAAATAGTTTGCACCTACACAAAACAACAATATATAAAGAAGAGCTATAAAAGCAACAGATAAATCAGGATAATCTATTAAATAGTACCAATTTTCTTATGATTTCAAATCCTATGTGGTGGAATCTGTTCTCATAAGGTGCATATACAGGAATAAGAGAAAAGGGAAAACTGATAGTGTAGTATGTAACACAAAAATGTGAAAAACATGAAACATAAAGTGTGTAAGTGCCCACTCAGGTTTACTAGAACTATCATACAAGCTCCAGTGGTAACCGCGTGTAGTGGTACAATCCTCACTGGTGGATATGGATGAATGTATGATCTCTCCCATGGGTCGCAGTGAAATATGTCAAGACAAAAAACATCTAATATTGCAATATTGTTACATAAAGTGCTTAACCCCTTAAAGATGCAGGACAGAAATTTTCCGTCATTGCAGCACCCCCCTTAAGGACGGTGGACGTAAAATTTACCCCAGGTTGCCGCAATCGTGGGGTTAATGTTCCTGTGGTGTGTCAGAGGCACACTACCATGGGCAGTTTCACTGATTCAGCCCATGTGATCACTCTGACCTCGAGACAGAGCGATCTGTTTCCCTGCAGCTCCGTGTGAGCTGTGAACTGCAAAGAGACAGATCGGTGTTGATCTGTCTCTGGCTGTGTGTAAAAAAAAAAAAAAATAATAATAATAAAATCCCACCCCCTCCCCTCACCTCTTTCAAATAAAATGTAACCCCTTCCCTGCCCTTTGATCACAGTCTGCAGTGATCAAAATACAGATCACAGTATTTCACTGTGATCTGATTTTTTCTTTTAACCCTGGAGGGTTAACCTATTTTTTTTTTTTTTTTAATCCTCAGGGGTTAAATTTATTTAGTTACTTAAATATAGTGATGTCGCGAACACAAAATTTTCGGTTGGCGAACGCGAACTTCCGCAAATGTTCGCAAAACCGCCATAGACTTCAATGGGCAGGCGAATTTTAAAACACACAGGGACTCTTTCTGGCCACAATAGTGATGGAAAAGTTGTTTCAAGGGGACTAACACCTGGACTGTGGCATGCCGGAGGGGGATCCATGGCAAAACCCCCATGGAAAATTACACAGTTGATGCAGAGTCTGGTCTTAATCCATAAAGGGCATAAATCACCTAACATTCCTAAATCACAATGGATATGGATTGACACCTGACATATGACATATTGACACCTTGACATATGGATTCACACCTGTCCTCAGAGACCCTGATACACACTGACACAGAGCAGAATAGGGACTATTCCCCCTACATAGGGTCACTTGGCAGATATGGATTGACACCTATCCTAAGGATCCCTGATACACACTGACACAGAGCAGAATAGGGACTGTTCCCCCTACATAGGGTGACTTGGCAGATATGGATTGACACCTATCCTAAGGATCCCTGATACACACTGACACAGAGCAGAATAGGGACTGTTCCCCCTACATAGCGTCACTTGGCAGATATGGATTGACATCTATCCTCAGGATCCCTGATACACACTGACAGAGCAGAATAGGGAATGTTCCCCCTACATAGGGTCACTTGGCAGATATGGATTGACACCTATCCTAAGGATCCCTGATACACACTGACACAGAGCAGAATAGGGAATATTCACTAAATGCCAAACATTGTTATACAGGGGAATATTCAGTAAATAAGGATAAGGGGGGACCTTCTGTCCTCCCCCCGGCCCCCACCCCTGCATGGTGGGTGGGGGCCCTACTGTCCGCCCGCCATAAAAATAATGAGGGGGGGGGACCTACTGTATGATGTTGTATCGACCAGGTAGTGTAAGGGTTACGCCCGCTTCACAGTGACAGACCAAACTCCCCGTTTAACGCACCGCACACAACCGCAAACAGTCCATTTGCACAACCGCAAGCTCCCCATTTGCACAAGGTTGGATACCAAGCTAGCCATGTCCCGTTCCTTGTCCTCACTGATGTCATTGAAGGTCTCTTCCTCCACCCAGCCACGTACAACACCACGGGTCCCCGAAAAGTGACAACAAGCCCCCTGGGACACCTGCTGTGTTTGGTCTTCCACCTCCTCAAAGCCACCTTCCTCCTCTGACTCCTCTTCTCCAGACTCCTCTCTCTGCGTTATTATAAGGTGTGTTAAGTAGTATTATTCTTATCAGTTTAATCCCTGTTATGTGCCTTTTTTTTGGTTTGGTTTTTGAAACCACAGTGCAGCACCAGAGGCCCGAAAAATTAGGCATGTACACATGTCTGAAAAATTAGGTGAAATAAAAAGACTGCTTTTTTATCTGGAAGGGTACAGAGGCGGCACTATTGGAGTTTTTAACACATCTTAATAATAATAATTTTAACTTGTCTTTCACATATTCCTACAGCCAAGAACATGTGGAATTTTTGGATTTAGTTTTATATGTAGAACAAGAGATTTTAAAATCTAAAACCTTTTTTAAACTTGTTGATGTGAACAGCTTCATTTGGACATCTAGCTGTCATTTCCCTTCTTGGCTACAAAATGTTCCCTACAGCCAATTTCTAAGAATCAAAAAGAATTGTACAGAGGAAGAAGTGTGTAGGGACCAAATATTAAAAGTTAAAAGACAATTTTTAGACAAAAAGTATGACTCGGATTTACTTGATAGGGCGTCAGAGAAAGTCTCCAAAATTACTAGAACGGAGATTTTAGCACTGAGAGAGAAAAAGATGGACGAGAATAAGGAAAAGTTTTTCTGTCCCCTCATCTTTAATTTTAATGCCCAGACCAACTATATCAAGAGGGCAGTACTCAAAAATTGGGACTTGTTGAAACAAGACCAAATATTGGCATCAATACTACCTCCAAAACCTAAAATTATATTTAGGGGAGCACCTACGTTAAAGGATAAATTAGTACATAGCCACATGAGACCGTCTCCTGAGAAACATTTTTTAAATTCTCATATAGGTTTTTTTAAATGTGGGTCCTGTAGAATATGTAAATTAGTAGGTCCACCTTTTGGGGTCACCCTAGAATATTCATCTACAACTACCAAGAAAAAATATAAAATAAAGGAATGCATAACTTGCAATTCCAAACAAATTATTTATTTATTGAGTTGCACTTGTGGTCTACAGTATGTGGGACAAACTAAACGAATGCTTAAGACAAGATTGGGAGAACACGTGTATAATATTAACAGAAAGTTCGAAAAAAAACATTAATTGTCAGAACATTTTAAGATATACCACAACAGCAACCCAGCATCCCTATCTTATTGTGGAATCCAGAAAATTAAAGTCCCTTGGAGGGGAGGGGATTTAGTGAAAAGTTTAATATATAGAGAAACTTATTGGATTTATACTTTAAAAACCCTAACTCCATTTGGGCTTAATGCTGAATTTGAAATAGCACATATTTTATGACCTGATATAGAGAATGGAAATGAGATTTTTTAACAGGATTTATAATATATATATTATGTATATTTTTTATAAGTTCTCTTTTTATTCTAAAAGTTTTTATTGACATTTGGTTATTTATTCTCATTAGATTCTGGAATTTGTATGATATCCCTGGTTAAAAAGTTTAGAATACACGGGCTGATAAAATTG